ACTAACTGTTGGATGAGATGTATAATTGTCGATGGCACCCCGTAGTAGCGAAGTAGTTGCCAAATCACCTCTTGATCGACGCTGCGCTGTCGAAGGCCTTTACACAGTCGATGAAGTTGAGATAGAGAGGTGACTGGGATTCCAAGCTTTGTTCAGTGATGATCCGTGGTGTGCCAATTTGATCAATACATGACTTGTTTCTCCTGAATCCAGCTTGTTACGGTCGACGTTTTTCACCCATGGTGGTGTGTTTGATTCTCTCCAGAATGATGCAACTTAGTATTCTGTTTGGGATAGATAGACTAATAGAAGACTAATTGAGACTAATATAAGACAGAAGGATAGTGAAACAAAAGATTATCCAGTGCATTTTAGTGGACGGAAATTCTGGCCTCCGTCAATATGCTGAGTGAGTAACTCTGCTGACATCCTACTTGATAATGACTTATTTTTGATCGTATAAAAGTATCCTTTCTAACTAAATATAGTCTCTTGTTTACTGGAGTTTTACTTATCTACTCTTCACTGTTTCATATGCTTCTTGATACAGAGTCCATGTGTTTGTTACTGTCCCTTGACTAGACTTTCATCACTTAACATTTTATCGCTGCTCTCACTCAAATTATGCTGTAAATATGCCAGCCCTTAGTGCATGCATCCCAGTGTATTTGATAGGATGAGCTTACATTATCATCTCTCATATTGTGTACTGAAACTAGTTTACACGCAAAGATAATTTTTTTTCTCTTCTAGTTCAGCCAATTTATTATCTCAGCATTTAACACACCAAGTGAAATTCTTTTTTTAATTTATGTGTCGTAGGTTAGGTATGCAGAAAGAGATAGATTGGGTAGGCTTCAACTAGGCGGCCTACAGGGCATATGATATGAAAGGCATATATTATAGTTTATATGGCAACCATCGAGATAGTGGATAGACATGTATTTAAAGTTATTACAAGTCTTTTTTTTTGTTAGAGAAATATGTCTAACTCTTATCTATAAAAATTTCTGCATGTGTCTCTTTCTATCTAGCTTGACAGATAAGATCAGTTTTTTTGGAGGGGGTGGGGGTGGGAGTTGGTGAACTAATTTTCCTCTGTTTCAATTTTGCCTATATGTGAATAACACGGTAATAGTGTTTAGTAGTAAGAGAGACTGTGTATCTGACTAGGTCTCTGATCTGATTTTGAGTGAATTTCAGTTGAAGTTTTCACGGGGGGGGGGTATGTACTTATTTGTGTTTGTGGTACAGGTCGACGTGGACGTATTTTATTGGTACATATTGTCAATCGATCGGATTCGGAAGCTAAATAGATTAAGATAGCTGGGATACGTGTTTCGCTTGCTGGCCCATCACCTTCGTCGAAAGATGTTATCCAACATAAGATTAGTTTGCAAATGAATTAGGGATGGCTTATTATCACCAATGATATTCTTAATTGTGGTGGACTGGATTATGCGTCAGACAGTGAGTGGGAAACGAGAAGACAGGAATATTCTGAACCGACGTGAAGAACCTAGAAGATCTGGATTTCATGCGTGGATGATTTATGTTTAATGTCACACAAAATCGAAGTCTTACAAGCGAAACCGACCGACAAACTGGGCGAAGAAGCAGCCGGCGAAGACACGACTCCAGGTGAACATAGACAAGACGGAGGTTATGAAAATAACCAGCCAACAACAACAACAACATCCAGCGCCAATCACCATCAACGGGAGGGATTTGAAAGAGGTTACTTCATTCACTTATCTAGGGAGCATTGTCTCAACTACAGGAGGAACGGACGAGGGTGTCAAAACGAACGAGAATCAGGAAGGCGAGAAACACATCCATCAACCTGAAACCAATCTGGAAATCTTCGTCACTCAGACAGCAACAACAAAAAAAATTCGGTCGGATTTTCAATACAGACGTCAAGTCAGTCAGTTCTTCTATACGGACTGGATCAGAAACTTGGAGGGCGGGTGGGTCACAAAGAATATTTCCAACAGCCTGTTGCAGACCTTTATCAACCAACAACTGTCTTCGCTGAATCTATACTGAAGATCAGATGGCCGGGTCGGAAAGAATCACTAACAAGAAACTATGGATACAAACAAACAAAACAAGAACCAATCGCCATCCAACAAATATTCAGGAGAAAGTGGATTGAGATGGATTAGACACTGGCTGAGGAGGCCGCTGGGTGACATCGCGCGCGCGTCAGACCATCGCTCGAGTGGAACCAGGCCGAAAGGGAAGCGGCGAGTGGGACGTCAGTGCAAGGGTGACATGGAGGAGATTGTGTGAAGAGGAGTTGAATGAGTATGGACTAACATGGATGCAGGTGAAAGGTACAGCAGAAGGAAGACAGAAGCAAGTGGAGACGTGCAGTTGAAGCTCTATGTTCCACTAGGAATCCAAGGGAACAATAATAATGATATTAATAAACCAAAATATGACATCAATCTATAATTATCTGACTGTCATTTTGAGCCAGCCAGCCACGTAAGTGGGTGTATACTGTCTGGTTGAATGAGGTCCTTGAAGACAGTTGGTAATAATATGGCTCAAAATCGTTCTCAATGGTGTAGATGCAGATTGATCAAGTCTTCATTTTTTCATATCATTATTATTTTTGCTGGAGATTTCTGCTGATTATAGTCCTTCTCAATTTCTTTTCTCTCTATCCACGTGTACTACATGAAGTGTGGTGACTTGAACTACTGGACTTTTACGTATAGTTATGTGTTGCAACTCAGTTAGTGAATCAGTCAATCAGCAAATATGTTAATGAATTTAAATCCAGAGTTGTAATTTGAACACTGTTACTTCTTATAATGAAATCAGTCTTTAATACTACCGCTACTACTGACGCAGATATACTTTAAATGCCAAAAGCGTAGCATCACACAGATGATCTTGGAAGCACTAATCACACGAAAAAGATGGTTTTTCCGCATAAAATACATATATTTTCGAAAATAATGATTATAAAGGCATGAAACTTTCTCAAAGGATACCTTCTCTGATCTGTGACAAAAATGCTTCCCAATTTTGCATTGAAACATCAGAGTAGCTAAAACACATTCTATACATGTGTTCACCTAGGTCTTCTAAGTCTAACCAATCCTAATATTATTAGGTTAACCTAATTCGAACCTGTCCTTAGCCTACGTCTTAACTTGATACTTCCTCAACGTAACCCGAAACTTATCAGATATTCCATTGGTCTCACTAACTTGTAAACTGGGCCTTTCAAGGCCATTGTTGCGGTCACACCTCTCAGGTGTTTAGAGTTTGACTTTGTCCTACCTCGGTTAGTTTTACTGTGGGTTTTTAAATAAGCTGAAATCAGAAAGAGAAACATGAAAATACAGAGGTGCTAATGTATCAATTTCCCTCCATCTAACTGTCGGACAGTTAGTTACTCACTGATGACTTTAAATAAGTTAGGCAGAGGTTGCAAATTATTGAGCCATTTGGTTTTGACCCAGTGGATAGATATTAACGTGATTGCTGCGATGATTGGTACTTCCAGGTTGAATCCTATACAGTGTTGTGAGTTCGAATAGCTTAGGAGGTGGTATCTTTTCGTAAGGAATTCTCGACATCTTTTGTACTTGTGTGTGTGTGTGTTTGTTAAAGTGGTGTGCATTCAGTAGTATGTATGGATATAAATGTTTTATATTACAAGAATTGGGCCAGGTCCCACGTGTTTGTATTTTACTCCTAAACTGTGGACATTTGTGGCTTATCGGCTTAGTCACTTGACTTCCGGTAAATGGGTCCGGGCATGTCGAAATGTCGTTCCATCTGTAACGAATAAACCAAATGTGTTATGGTCTGATCAAAAGTCACAAAAATTGCCACAATTACAGCAAACAGACAGTTATCTGCAATAAAACCTGCTGTACTACTTAACAATAATAACATATCAAAAACTCAAAATTGCCTCGACAATGCTGTTAGGCAGCTATACAGGTCTGATAAGTTTTCAGTGCAAAACATGTAATGTGAAGTGAATGCTGGTTGACCAACAGCCAACCGTAAGGAGTACCTGATAGTCAAGTAGTATATTTCCAACATGGTGGGATCGACTACCAAAAACTTCCCTCCGACAAACCAAGGTCCCGCGACAAACTTTGACATCATTCAAGCGAAATCCCATTGTGAAACGACACATCAGTTTATCACACAATCACAAAGAGAAGCATTAAATTAGAAGTTAACAGGGACAAAGACAAATAGTAAGGATCTAGTCAACATAAGATATGTGAATATCAGAACAATAACATATAGTCTCGGAGAAAATAGAGGGAAATGACAAAGTTAGATGAAACATTCAAGTAAGTAGAAATAATGTAATTAGATCGTTCAGGGGGGATTCTACAAACAGTCACTCCGTTATACCACCTACTTCAGTCTAGGCAGCTGGGTAGTATCATGTACTTTCTCACAGTCATTGAAGTTCATGGACCAGTATTGACCGGCTGAGTTCGAATTATTTAGTCAACTAACTCCTAAGATGTAAATTGAAGATGTGAGAGAAACCTGATTTTAACTATAACCTTAACTAAACCTATTTTCCTGTTGGGTGATTTTCCAATTTGGTGTGGAACGAAACTTCTTGACCAAATATCTTTCCTCATTTTCAAGTTAGTTACAAACTTTTTATTATTATTTTAAACCTGTGCTTTATTTGGTTGCATAATAAAATGGTTGTAACTAAAAGTTGTTTATAGCTAATATCCGTGTCATTTACTTTCAGATATATTGCACAGTCAGTACAGCGACATATAATCTTCCACCTTTACTCTTTTTAGTTCAAATAATTCTTTTTTCATTTCCAGCATCTCTCGCTCAGTTACACACTGTTAACATTCATTTGATTGAATAACCTGAATCCACCCCTGTTTGCTTATGTGTGTGCGTGCGTGCCTTTTAAACCTTTTCGTTTTAATCACCTAATCTCTTCCAACATATTTTCTCTTTTTTTTTAAAATATTTTTCAGGCTACTTTAACAAGTCCAAGCGTTCTGCTACGTTGTGTTGCTGGTGAATGCCTTGGAAGGTTAGCTCAAGTTGTCGGTGAATCAAGCCTTTTAGCTGAATTAGCTCAACAAATTTTTGAACGTCTACGTACAATTCGTAATCCTATTGCAAGAGCTGGTCACTGTTTAGCTATTGGTTGTTTGCATCGTTATGTTGGTGGTTTAGCGTCTAGACAACATTTAAGCTCAAGTGTTGGTGTTCTGCTGGCTATAGCTCAAGATTCTAGTGTACCAGAAGTTCAAGTATGGGCTTTACATTCTCTTGCCTTGGTAGCAGATTCAGGTGGTCCAATATTTAGAGAATATGTTGAACCAAGTTTAAATTTAGTATTACAACTACTGTTGAAAGCACCTAGTGCTATGCATGAAATACAAAGAGGTCTTGGTCGTTTATTCGCTGCTTTAATAACCACTTTAGGACCTGAATTACGTGGTAAGTATCTTCGCTTTTTAATGTATAGTTCATATTATTATGCCTTTGGGATCCTTGTGGAACATAGGGCTTTAACAACACATATCCACTTTCTTCTATTTTCTGCTATCCTCTTCAGCTGGCTAGCTCCACGATTGACTATAATCTCTCATATCTTCCTAGCCACACGATCTTCTTCATGTCATCCTCGCACTGATGACCCACTCGTCGTTTCCCATTTGGATTCCACTCAAGCAATCGCGTGCATTGTGCATGATGTCATTCGACAGTCTCCGCAATGTATGCCCGATCCACCTCCATTTTGTCTTACATATTTGTTGAGCGACCGGTCCTTGGTTGGTTTGCTCCACTGCGGAGTTTCTTGTTGCTAATTTTTTCTGACTGGCCAGCTGGCCATTTGATATTCAGTATGGAGCCAGTGAAGGGACCAGCTGTTGATGAAAGTCTGCAACCTGCTGGAAATCCTTTTCGTGACACGCAGTGCAAGTTTCTGACCCGTATGGAAGGACTGACTTCACATTTCTGTTGGAAATCCGAATCTTGTTCTTCATTCTGAGTTAGTGGAGAAGATTTCCGAACTGATTTCAGGTTGACGACTGTGACATCTTCATCCGAACCATCCGCCTGTAGTTTAAACAATGCTGGCTTCCTAAATAAGTGAAGGAAGTAAACTCTGTCAAATCTCTCCCGTTGATGGTGATTTATGGTGGTTGTTATTGTTATCAGTTGGTTATCTTTTAGATCTATCTAGATCTTCTTGAGTCATCTTATAGATCGAACGTGTTCCTGTCTTCTCACAGTCTGACGCATGTTGACTGCAGAATTAGGTGTGTTTATTCCTCAAATCTGGATTTAGTTTACATTATCGTCTGTCGAAATGATGTTTGTCGGTGGCTCAGTGGTAGAACACCGGTGAAACAGGTAGGTGGTAGTCTGAGGTTCGTTCCCCAGCTCATTCACCTCTAAACATCACTTAGCTAGTAGTAATCGTCCTAAAGGGGGAAAGGAAAAAATAAACACCACTGCTACCGGAACTTCAGAGCTGCAGCATGAAGTCCTATGTTCCACTCAGAACTTAAGGGAATAAAAAATACGAAGTGTTTCGTCTCCTACCGTTACAACATATTTTCATTACTAATCAATAAGTAGCTGATACATAATATAACCTTGTTTGTAACATGCTCGATCTTTATTGGTTATTAGTCACTCTTCATCTGTGTTTAAACTCCAATGTTTAATTTGAAGCCGAGTTAACTCATTCGAAATACTTGTACATCAAACTCCATCAATTCCCAGTTAGAATAAAAAATTGTTCAAAATGATGGGGACCAATTTGTAACTTAAATGGATGATATTCCATATTAGCGTATTTAGCGTTAATTTCAGTTCAATTACATTAATACTAGTAATAATAAGAATATATATATATATATATATATATATTTCAATACCTTGATTGAATTTCAATGCGTGCGTGCGTGTGTTCGTGTTTGTAACGTATTCTCCTTCTAGCTGTGTGTGTCTCTCTTCCCTCACCCCCTCCCCCAAAAAGAAATTTGTTACATTCCTTTCACACATTTTATGATATACTAATGGATACACATTTCCTGAATAAATCTGATCATTATTTCATCTCTCTCTCCACCTTCCTTCCTTCCTCCCTGCCTCCCTCCATGTCTCTCTGTCTATCCCCTTCCTCTTTCCCTTTTTCGAATGCTTTTTCCTCTTTGTTCAACATTCCATCATTCCAGTCATTTAGTGGAATGTAACTTCCTGGGGTACATACCAAACCTGTCTGTTATGTAATCCTATAAAAATGCCTCTCAGATCTATAGTGTGTTTCCTTTTTGAAATTGAAGGAGAAAAACAATGACAGTAATGATGATAACAACATTCAACTACAATTTGTTAGTTAATTAATTCTCTATGCACTGTCACAATTAGATCACATGTTGAAATGTTGATGACACTGGTGATGATGAATAAGGCTTGTGTTTATTTTGGCGACATTAAGTGAATCCATTAGAGGATTTTCTATGGTAAGTAAGTGCAAATGGACGGTGCATTAACTAACTATTCTGGATATTGACGAAGAGGAATGATTTGTGTAGACAATAGGAAGTTAGGGAGAGAGAGAGATAGCTTGTTATTAGCAATTATTTGTTCCATCAACTAAACGAAAGGCAAATTAATCAAACATTTTTTAAACAATAATTAAGCTCAACGATTATATTTAATCTATTTAAATTCTGGTGTGAATTTGGTTGGTTTTAGCCAAGTACGCAGAGATGTAGAGACTATAACTGGGACTGGTTGGGGTCCTCTAGATGCCTGATACTAATGGTTTAAAACTTTTGGCATAGATAAATCCAGTTTGTTGTCCGCGAGTTTATTTATAAACTCGCTGAAGATGTCGCCTGGTAGGGCGATGAAAGCTGCTCAAATTAACTATCCGGCCCAGCGAACACAACGACATTAAAAACTGTTTATTGTCTTTCAAACTCATTAAATCTCCATGTTTTTCTAAGTAATTGTTCTTTCTCCCACATTAGAGTTCTTTGGAATTTCCTTTTTTATACCTTTATATATATATATATATGGTAAGGTGAACTGCTACACTCCTGTTAAATGTGCTGCTTTGAAACTCAAGTAGTCAGATGCAAGCCTGCTTAATGAGTATGGATATGCATAACACAATGATTAGATGTCAAAATTGTGTTGTATTATTCGTCCCTTGGGTACCTAGTGGAGCATATAGTTTCAGAAGCATATCTCCATTGTATTCTGTCCTCTATTGTCAATTTCAACTGACTCTATCACTCCACATCACACCTAACTCGTGGCTTCCTATTTGAGTTCCACGGGTCTTGTAGCAGGTGCTTATTTCGGAAAATGCGGGATTGTTGGGTGTAGGACTAGTGGCTCTACCGTGGTAAATGTACGTATAAAGGTCATTGCATGGTGGAGAAGACTTGTAGCTCAGGTGGATGATTTTGATGTAATTGTGTTCTCTGAGCTGCATGGTTTATTTAACCATAAACCATCCACCTCAGAGAACACAATTACATCAAAAAGGTCATCGTCATGGAAATCTGAATTAGAAAAATATGTATGTGGTATACAGTAGTGTGTGTGTATATATAGGTGAACGATTGTATATTATTCCTAAGCATTTCAATAGGAAGATACATATATTTGGGTTATTGGTTAAGCAAGAGAATTAATGATTCGTATCCATTATTCATTGATCAGGATTTGTCATGCATGAGTTAACATCACGCTGACACGTCTATTCAAACTTTTGGGATTCATCTAGCCTCTGCAATCAATTTTACTTTATATGAACCAAAACCTTTCTGTAGAACCGCGGTTCTATCAAAAACAATCTTATGTCGCGTTTCTATCAAGGGAAGTACAATTGCTGATTTGTTTTCTAGCTTCTTCGAATTTACACAGGCCTTTAGAACTACTTTTGAGTTATTGTTCATGCTCTTCTACACTTACATTCACCTATCTGGAAGATTTTCCTACATATACAGCATTAAAATCCCACCCCCATTCTTATTTAGTATATACAATTCTGTTGGTTGTCGCTTTCTGCATTATTCGTAACCTTTACTACTGATGAGCGTAAGCGGTTCGTTGCATGAAAATGCACCTCTATGTCACGATTGTTGAGGATTCCCTTTATTTCATCCGTTGTCTCTTTACGGTGAGGAATTACTTCATAGTACTAATCCAATTCTCATCAGCAGGTTTTGATGCATCCTTATGTTCACTTTTTAAATATCTTCTAATAAGGCCTTTGGGATAATTATTTGATTGACTGAAACAATTTTAATTCTCTGCTGGACTTTTCTACTCCATTAACCAAACATTCAGTGTACTGCTCAACAGTCCCCTGCGTCCTCCTTTATGGCTGCGAGACGTGGCCATTGAGAGTGGAAGACATGAAAATGCTGGCTAGCTGTCTTTTAGCATAGGTATCTGGGCTCTATCTCCAGTGTGAAGTGGTATAATAAGGTGAGCAATATTGAGGTTAGGCATCGGTCGAGTGCTAGGTAGGTGGGAGGGGAAATCAATCGACGAGGCTGTGAAATTACATCGAGTGAGATGGTTAGGACACGTGTTACGTATGCCTAGTCATCGCTTTCCTCAACAATGGACAATTTTAGCTGATATAGGGACAAGTTGGAAAAGAGGCAGTGGTGGTCAAACCAAAACATGGCTTCGTCAGTCAATGAAATCCACAACAGTTAGTTTAAGCCACATAGGGAGGTGTAGACTTCCTGACCGGTTGGGGTCCTCGGGACGGTAAAAACCAATGGTTGGAAACAATAAGTGATATGCCTGGAAATCGTTCTCGATGATGGCGCAAGTGCATCCACTCCCTGTGACTTATGCCTTCCAATGAAACTGTTTTGTTCTTCGTTACTACTATTCCTTTGTCTCACACCTCTGTTTACTGTCTCTATTATGCATTTCTTCTACTTTCTTCTGTTGCTTTGTGTGCTACATGGGGGAGGGGGGAGTGTGGCGACTTGAACTGGTGCACATCGGTGCAAAGTTCTATGTCGAAAATAGACAGGCAGACAGACATTCAGATTCTTAGCAGGAGTTACTTCGGTGGCAAAAGGATGTGGGGAACTAGAATCAAGGTATTTGTTCTAATATTTAGGGTTTCTGAATGGTATTGATTTTTACTTTACTATCTGGTTTTCTTTCAGCCGAACAATTCAGTAAAGCCAAATTATGCACACAAGATTCAATCTCATCCAACGAACAAACCGTTGGAATTTATTTTACTCAGTTTTACTGAAATGCATACAAATACAAATACAGTTTTTATGTCTACAAGTGATTTGTGCTTCGTATAAAGATTTCTTTCTTTTTCTTATTTCATTTTCACACACATACACACACTGACACATTCTTGTGTTTCTTCTTTTGAAAAAAAATTTCATCTCTAACAGGTACCGGTGCTAGTATCACGTCTGTTCGACATTCATGTCTGCTGTGTTGTTTAATTATGCGTGATTCACCGGATGCATTGTTACAGGCTGAAGGTGTAGCCTGTCTACAACAACTACACATGTTTGCACCAATGCATGTTAAATTAGCCGGTCTAGTGCCTGAATTACAGGTTAGTTAGTCAATTATTTTTTATTAATATTCTCTTATCATTATCATGTATGCTATAAAATAAATCTACTTTTGTGTATTGTCGATTTTCTGGATTACTAACGAAAATGAACTAAACAGAGTCAAATATTTGTTATATGAAAATTGTCTTTGATTAGTCTGTCTGCTTTATCGATGGTCATGTGATTTACAACAATGTGCTCTTATTTATATCTTCTTCACTATTCATATCATTTGTCTGTTTATTTGCGTAATGCTTATTTATACGAGTTTGACCACGGATTGATATCAGTTAGAGAATCATTGAAAACCCATCAGGGAATACTGGACAGCCAGCTGTTTCATCCTAGTTCGGGAATCATCGGCAGTACGCACCCACCGCAGGGGGTTCGAACCCAGGACTTTCCGGTTACAAAACAATCTCATAGACCACTCAGCCACTGTGACCCGATTCATTCGCCAACCCATGAATTCTAACTTCTACCAATTCGTGGTTTTTCTATCGTGACCACCAACCAGTGTCATCGGTGGGAAATCCATCCTCACATCCGTGGTCAAACTCGTACAATTATATTTAATCCTTGCAAACCAACTGTTGAAAATTAATGCTTATTTGTCAAATGATTTATCATGCGAAAAGGACTCATCGCATTAGTGTTACAGACACGTACACTTTTCTCTTAGGATTCTATTTCTTCACTTATTTTCTATTTTGTCTTGTCTTCTCAACCTCTTTTGTCATTCTTCTAATGGGTTGTTCTCCAAATTCTTACACTTCGCATGGTGATTTCACGCAACTTACTACTTATTATTTAACTAGGATAGATTTCTGATCTCTTTTGGCTTAAATTTTTTTTAAGGTACGACTACCACTTTAATAGAGGTAAGGCTAGAAATTGCCACTGTTCTACCATAAATGGCTTACAGGATTCCATCATGAGCTGACATCAGTTAAAGAACCATTGAAAAACTAACAAAGAGTATTGTAAAACTGTTTCGTCAGTCTAGTTTGGGACTCTTCATCAGTAGGCACCCACCGGGGTTCGAACCCAGGACCTTCTGCTTACAAAGCAATCTCGTATACCATTCAGCCACTGGGACCCGATCCAATGGCCCACGAATGGTATTTATAAATGGCTTAATGGTATACGAGCTCGCCTCTTAGCCAGAAGGTCCTGGTTTCGAAACCTGGTGGGTGCGTACTTCTGAAGAGTCCCGAGCTAGGACGAAACAGCTATCCAGTACTCCCTGGTTGATTTTCAATGGTTCTCTAACTGATGTCAGCTCATGATGAAATCCTGTAACTAACCAAATCCCTACAAACTAACACTTGAGTATAAATAGCTTATACTGAGGAAGGATTATAATAATAGTAGGGTTCTTCCATTTAAAAAGCATCAATCGATCTATCGTTTCTTTTTAATGAAACTACCAGTTAGCCTACTCACTAAAACAAGTGAATACTCTCTTTTTATAAACCCCTTTGTGTTTGAGATGGAGAAAATTTGAACGAGTTTAGATATAAGAGTGACAAATATACTTCACTGATTTCTCAGAATTCTAATTACTTATGGAATAATAATAATAATCATTACAACAAAAAATACTGCCTTATGATCACCAAGAGGATGCTCCTTACAAAAACCTCATAGTTCGTGAGAGGGCTGGGATACTACTGCTCGCCCGAATACCCAGACCGAAGCAAGTGGTTATCTCAAAGAGTCACTCCTCGATCCTTTGACTTGAATTCTGATCCACAAAGTCTTGGAGCATTGTCAGAAGCTACGTTCCCAAAACAGATTCATACGCCATTCAGTCTTTTCGGATTCTGGAACTCATGTACACCATAGGCTTGAAATCAGAGTTTTTCAGCTCCTTAAGCTAGGTAAACATGAATTTCTACCAGTCCGATTGTAAGCACTAGATATACTCATCCAGCCTTTCACTTTTGTGAAGAGCACTTGATCACCGCGTCAAGGCAATGAATAGGTTGTAGCTAACAGAGGATATGAATTCGGGGCCGCATTGGAACATTTTGAAAGGAAGACTGAAGTCTAGCCATCTTCGATCGTACCAGGTTGTTTATAGGCAGATTGGTGGGAATGTTCATGCAATCCATTGAGGCAGACATCATTAATAACATTAATGGCAATGGTGATAATTTAAACGCAATATGAGTACGTAGTAAACTATTTGACTTTAGAGTGTATAAAAAAATAAATGAAACTTTATAAATGTTAATAGCTTTAAGTATGTAAAGTATATTGTGAAGCGCCTTATAAATAAATGATGATACTTGATAGGATAATTCACTAAATAAAGGACTAGACACATCACACTAGTTACTAGTATCCAGTGAAAATGCTCACTACAGTCCTACAAGAGGAGGTCAGTCGCGAGCTCAGCGGTAACGTCTTTGACTGCAGTACTCACTGGGTGAAGCGGGTTCGAATCTCAGAGGCGACATGAGTTCCTTCAAGGTTGCAGTCACACCTTGCTGACTAGTGAGTGCCAACTAGCACGAAACCCAAGTCGAGTAAGGCTTCCTGTAGCCGATTGCCTCCAACCATCTAATATCATCAAATCAATGTGCACCGTGATGGCAAGCTACCTAGAATGGTGGCCACATTGCAAACCTAACTGACAGAATTCAGTTTGCACCAAAGAAAGGACTAGACGCATCACAATAGTTACCAGTATAGTAGCTATTTATATCCTCCTTTGTTTTCAGTAACAATTTTATAATGATACATTTTTCTCTAATGGCAGCGAAAAATTTCGAGGCTTCTGATATTTGTCTGGGACATTGTGTTCGTTTCAGTGTTAAGCACCTAAAGATAGGGAATTATATATATGTATAATGATTACGATGATTATCGTTGGTGTTATATATATATATAGGACATAATTGTTGTTTGTTTATCTCCCTCATCAATCATTTTTAATCTGTATAAATTTTTTTTATCAAAATGATTACGTAATCACCATTCCATAGATGTAAACACATTTTTTTCTCTAACTTGTGGAGTGTTAACCCCCGTTTTGTTTTTTTGTGCCTGATGATGGATGTGTGTTTCTCTCCTTTACTTTAATTAATACAAATATCAACTGTGCGGATGACATGCAAAGAATTTCGATTGCATAACATTCCAAAAAGCTACTCTCATATTACTGATATAAGTGTTCTGCTATTACATAAATAGAATTTTGGAAATTCTCTGGATTTTTAAATGTTTGTGCATTTAATGTAACGATTTATACTCAAAATATCTTTGTATGAATGATTAGTGATCCACTTTAAATCTAGTCTTGGTGATGTGAACCCTGGTTGATGATTTTACGCCTTTATATATTGAGCTTACCATCAATGTGTGTTTTCAAAATATGTGAGTTATGTGTGTGTGTGGGTATCAAGTAGGGTGTTATTGAATACCTCAGTCTTGTTTCACCTAGTGTGTCATTATGTTTTATAGTCATGTGTCATAGAGATAGTGCTTTGGTAGTTCTGCAGTAAGACGCTTGCCAACCACGCACATGGCTCAGGTTCCGACGCATTCCTAAATCTCGCTTAGCTGGCAGTAAGGCTGGTAAAGAGGGAGAGTTGGGCGTCAGACCAGCAAACTCACCCAGTAATAAAATAAAATAATTTATAGACATAAAGACAACAATTATAATGAAAGTGAAAAGTCTTATGTAAATCTGTGTGTGTGATGATAAATGGCTTCACTAGCTAGTTGATCAACAAGAACAGCGTACCTTCCAATTTTCTCTGCAGTCCTCTTTAGTTAGCTCTACTATCATCCACAAGTTTTCATCTCGCATAATCTTCTGCTGATGATTTAACGGTTTCAATGGCTGTTAACTCCCAGCTAGACTGTACTAAAATAAATAGCTTTCTATCGGAAGTCAGCAAATGGTCTGAGTCTAACGGTCTTAAACTGAATCCTTCTAAGTGTCAAACTGTTGATTTCAGCTTAAGATGTAAACGACAGTTAAAAGAAGTCATCGATTCTCATGACACTTGTAAAATTGACGACAATGATATTGGAATCAAATCAGAAATTAAGTATCTTGGACTCATTCTCTCTTCTGATCTCTCCTGGTCTTCCCATGTCTTAGCAATCTCCAGTAAAATATTCCGCTTGACATTTTACATTAAGAAGTTAAGACACTCGGGTATAACTCAACCCCTCATCCTACAGTTCGTAAACTCTTGCATCCTACCTATTCTTCTTTATTGCTCACCCTTATTCTTTCCTGGTTTGCTTAAAAAAGACTATGTCACAATTCGTAGAATACTGAAGACTGTCAGTAGAGTGAGTGGTGTCCCAGTGGACCACATAGTTAACGTCGTTGTCGATAGGCATTTGACTTCGTGCAATAAATTTGCTAAAGGGATTTTGTCTGACTTGGAGCATCCGCTTTACCCTCAGCTTTCACCTTGCATCTCCTCAGGTAGAACAAGGAGTAACTTCAGAAAACTGTATGCTCGCACGTCTAAGTATAAGAATTCTATGATACCATACTTGGCACGTATTTTATGTGATGAAAATAGTGTCAGGCAAGAATTAACTAACCTTCTTTCATCTAGTAAATAAACAATTTCCTCCATCCATCCTTACATACCTTCAAGTTTTACTTTTATTACTTCTATTATATTTATGGTCCTGTTAATTCTCTGTTTTACTCTCATAATTGCAAACACCAACTTATCTCCATGACGGCTGTAATCTTTGTTTTTCCCTTCACCATATCATGTAGAAAGAACATTATATTCAATATTTTTAAACATGTTAGGATTTCTATACCACATTGCCAATACTGTGTGACACAAGCCAACGGCAATTTTCACTTGTATTATTATTATTATTACTACCCTAGCTGTTATCATTATTATTGCTATTTCCATTTTATATGCTGCATGTTTTTGACACTACCTCTATTGTAAATGTGAAAATTTTTCTGTGTGATTAATTTTATTTATAATTTGAGGAAATTAGA